CATGTTTACATGTAGGTGGGGTGACCCTCCCAGGTGGGATGGCTGGTCTGCCAGACCGGGTACCCTCTCAGCCTGGGTCAAATTTTGCCAGGTAAATGTTTCAAGGTGGGGGTACCTTACCTAGCTGGGGTTTGATTCATGTTACATCAAAGTCGCCTCAAATGCCTTTGGCAGAAGCTTTGCATCATTAAAAGTGAAAGCCATGCAGCATTACAAGGTTACAGCAAGCCAAAGATCAGCAAGTGAGAGAAGAGGAGCATTAACCCCCAAAACATCTTTGCCTGCCATGTTGTGTTTACGTGCTTAGAGACCATTCAGTAATCTTGAGAAAAAGCACCCCAAGATGGTGGGGTTGTAAGGTTACATGTAAAAGACAGGTTTTTTTTACTCCACCCGAACGGGTTACCTCACCAACCTGGGGTCCCCCACCTCCATGTAAACAGGCCCTTAAGCATATTCACACTATATATNTTTTCTTCATTGCTACCATTCTTACCTTTACTTTGTCCAAGTAAGTTTGGTTTCCATGCCACAAGTTATGAAAGTTGATAGTGTCTGGACTACCCTTGTAGAAACTCCACATCCATCTCTGAAAACAAAAGACAAAATATTACATGTACTATACTTGTTGTATTTACCTGGCAACTTGAAATCTTAGAGACAGCAGTGTGAGGTAACCCACTAGAGGTGGGGTAACCTGCCTGTCCATGTAATCTCTCATTTTAATTTGACCATGTTTACATGTAGGTGGGGTGACCCTCCCAGGTGGGATGGCTGGTCTGCCAGACCGGGTACCCTCTCAGCCTGGGTCAAATTTTGCCAGGTAAATGTTTCAAGGTGGGGGTACCTTACCTAGCTGGGGTTTGATTCATGTTACATCAAAGTCGCCTCAAATGCCTTTGGCAGAAGCTTTGCATCATTAAAAGTGAAAGCCATGCAGCATTACAAGGTTACAGCAAGCCAAAGATCAGCAAGTGAGAGAAGAGGAGCATTAACCCCCAAAACATCTTTGCCTGCCATGTTGTGTTTACGTGCTTAGAGACCATTCAGTAATCTTGAGAAAAAGCACCCCAAGATGGTGGGGTTGTAAGGTTACATGTAAAAGACAGGTTTTTTTTACTCCACCCGAACGGGTTACCTCACCAACCTGGGGTCCCCCACCTCCATGTAAACAGGCCCTTAAGCATATTCACACTATATATACTGGATAGGTCTTGAGCTCAATTCTCTATACATACCAATTCATTCAGCAGATCTTGAGTAAGGAACTGATCTTGATGTGTACTGATATTCATGATCATGGGAACTCCTAGTTTATGAGTTTGACCCTCTGGCGAAGCTTGAACCCAGAAAGCTCGTACAGTTGACTCTTTTGTTGGTCGGTAATTATCATATGGAGCTGTTAAAAATTTATTAAAAAACAAAGTAAACAAAAAACTGACTAAGTGACACAACAACAAGACATAATCAAATCTTGACAAAGCCATATTTAATCTTTGCACATTTTTTTGTTTAGTTTTTGCTTTTTTGTTTTCCCCTTTGACTTGTTTCCCTTTATTCTCACTGCTGATCCTTTACAGCTTCACAAAGATTTTGCGATAACATATCTCTTGTAATACATGTACATTTGTACTTACAAACTATCATGCCAAGGCAAGGGCCATAGGAAGATGTTTCATGTTGCAATATTTTCTGATACTTGAGCTGATTCTGGATATCTTGTAGTGATGGATCTGGTTGATAGGATGGGTGACTGTGATACCATCCAACAAGAACAAGACCTCGCTGTGCAATGGCATTCCTCACCTGGCCACAGAAAGAGAAAACTGTGTTAGGTTTACACTGTACAAGCAGCAGGAAGGTTTTACAGATAAATTGAGATTTCACACGGCTAAAATAAGTCCACAAGAAAAGTGCTAGCCTAAGGGAAGTGGAACAAACTGTCAGTGGGTTATCAAGTTTTAACTGGAAGCTGTCTTATGGGGAAGCAACATTTGCCTACTGTAGATAAGTAAAATGTTAGCCAATACAAAAAGGATGATGGTAAGCTAAAGCCGGCTTGACTTCCCCGGGCTAGTAAACCTTGCTTGCCTGAACTGGGCAAGGATTTTAAACATTAAATTTTCATCTCACCTAGTGGAAGGAAGTCTTTACCACAGAAATTAGACTTATAAATCAATATTATTACATGTATTTTTGTTTATTTACTATTTGTACCATTGTTAAGGTACACTGTATAGCGGCAATGTACAGAAAATCATGAAAACATCAATCTGTGGTATAATGTAGTTTTTTTTTTTACAATTCCCACTGCTCTTCTTCTTTAAGACTACACTGAAAGTAAAGGCTGGCATAAAATACACATGACAGCTGGTAGGTTTTATTCCAACAGAACATTTCTACATGTAAAAAATTTACCTCTTCTTCCACCTTGGGTGCATTTTCTTTGTCAGCAAATCGACAGCGGCATGGAAAAGCCTGCACAATCTTCATGTCTGCATGAAATAAAGAAATAAAGTTATATTGGTATACAGTAAAAACCCACGACTAAGAACCTGGATTTTTCCAAGTTAGCCTAAACATATTCTTAGATAAATGGTAATAAGCACAAATCTAGGCTATAAATTATGGGTTCTTAAACAGGTTCTTATTTTTTGAANAAGTTTTAACTGGAAGCTGTCTTATGGGGAAGCAACATTTGCCTACTGTAGATAAGTAAAATGTTAGCCAATACAAAAAGGATGATGGTAAGCTAAAGCCGGCTTGACTTCCCCGGGCTAGTAAACCTTGCTTGCCTGAACTGGGCAAGGATTTTAAACATTAAATTTTCATCTCACCTAGTGGAAGGAAGTCTTTACCACAGAAATTAGACTTATAAATCAATATTATTACATGTATTTTTGTTTATTTACTATTTGTACCATTGTTAAGGTACACTGTATAGCGGCAATGTACAGAAAATCATGAAAACATCAATCTGTGGTATAATGTAGTTTTTTTTTTTACAATTCCCACTGCTCTTCTTCTTTAAGACTACACTGAAAGTAAAGGCTGGCATAAAATACACATGACAGCTGGTAGGTTTTATTCCAACAGAACATTTCTACATGTAAAAAATTTACCTCTTCTTCCACCTTGGGTGCATTTTCTTTGTCAGCAAATCGACAGCGGCATGGAAAAGCCTGCACAATCTTCATGTCTGCATGAAATAAAGAAATAAAGTTATATTGGTATACAGTAAAAACCCACGACTAAGAACCTGGATTTTTCCAAGTTAGCCTAAACATATTCTTAGATAAATGGTAATAAGCACAAATCTAGGCTATAAATTATGGGTTCTTAAACAGGTTCTTATTTTTTGAAGAAAAAAAAAAAAAAATATATATATACATGTCTAGTGTAGCCATTTAGTGGTATTCAGCTTATTCCCGTATAAAATTTGCATACTATTTTTCTCCCAGACTTTTTTTAAGGGGTACTTCAGTTTATTTCTATGGAGTTACTCTTTGCAAAACTTTTTAGCAATCCTCCATACTCATATTTACATGTACATGGGATTCTTGTACTTTACCTCCTTCTTATGAACAAAAGGTGAATGGCAATAAAAAAAATTTGAGTAGTCAACTGGCTCTCTTCTTCTTAACGTTATTGCTGTTAACATTTTTTGATATTAAGTACACTGTGCTAGATCAAACTGTTATCTTAAGCGGCACACTTACGGTGTGTTTGTGGGTCAAACTTTCCAGCAAGGTATCCTACTACTTCACTTGATGTTAGATGACAATGGTAATCCTGTGGATTTGATTGTAGAGGTAACTGCTGTTAATTTTATTTTACTTCTGTAATCACAAGATAAGAGTAAGAGTATCTCTAAGCTTCAATCATGATCCTTTCAAAATTGCCCCAAACTGAAACTTAAGAAAACACAACTGATATTCAGTGCTGTATCTTTTGTCATCTGTAATATAAGACAGTGTTCTCTAGAAATGTAAACTTTAGTTATCTCTCTTAAATTTAAGACTGGCTGATACATTTTAAAACAATATTATAGATCATACAAGTATGCATGACTGAAATTTAGCAAATGTGTTAATTACACAAACTCAATGCCTGTCTTTGGTAGTCTGCTGAAAGTGCTGACACTCACCATAAGCAAAAGACAGTTTGTTGAAATATCTACAGAAAAAGGCTGCATTTTTCCAAGAGCACTAAAGTTCATAAGTTCAACCAGGGTATGTGGATCACTATGGAACATAAAATAATACAAACTCATAAACTCACTGGCAGTATAACAATGATCACTTAAAAATACTGTAATTAAAGAGCCTTTTTTATCATGCTAGAATTTAAAACACTTGTCGACTGGCAGGAACAAAACACAGGTCACAAGTCATGGGTCACAAGTGCAGGTCAAGATAAGCAGTTTCCCTTTAAGCTATAACTCAATTTCCAATTGCGAGTTGTTTGTTTACCATAGTGTTCAGATAAAATTATTTACATATTATGGTACTCTAAGCTGTACTAAGCGACCTGTGACCCGCATCTTAAACGCTTAAGAGGACAAAATAGTTATCAATTAAAATTCTCTTTCTGTAAGTTACTCCCTGTAACACCCTTAAATTGAGAGTGAGATTATTTTGTTAATAGCTTTGAATGGAGATACCAATATACTGACACAAAACCCCAAAGATTCATTTGGTTACTGAGTAAAGAGTAAATAACAGAAAATAACTCTCATTCACTTGCAATGAAAATTCCCTCTCACCTATCTGGAGTCAATGCTGTGTACTTGACTGATTGCCGTGTTCTAACAGCCAGGCGTTTTCTACCTACCGAAGCAGGGGGTGATGATAATGGACTGGGCAAATCTAGAATAAACCAGCCATTAAAATAATATTATGTTCATCAGTGATCAATTTTTTCTATAAAATTAATTGACCGTAACATTAACCTGATTCTCGTGCACTCAATTACCTGCATGCCATAACAAAAAACTTGTACTCGTACACATGTAAGACAATGGGCCGCAATCAGTTAAAAAATGAAAATAAAACTGCTTACATGCATGTACATGGCAAAATAATCACAACTTTTACATCAGGAAAATTGTTATAGATTTATTATTTACAAAAATATTGACAGTTTTTTAATGTCCATTTCAGTTGAAGTTTCTCAGAAAATTGCGTGTGCAAGAAAGAGAAAAACAAAGTTGTGCCACCATCAAGTCATTTCTACGGTCTGTGCTTTTATTGGTCATAACTCTCAACCAATCAGCATGCAAGAAAAAATTCCTCACTCTAATACAGTGTATATATTGTAAATTTATTTTTTAAAAGGATTTTACAAAAAGAAATTGAAATGTTTTTGCCAATTTTTATCTTTGGACACTATAAGCAAGAATCTGACATTCTGATCTTACCCACAGGACTTTTCAGTGATACCGAAGACTTTGATGACATGGTCGGAGTCAAGGCTGTAGGTGAGAACCGTGTTGTTGACTTTTGTGTTGGTGGTGGGTGAATGTAGCCAATGTTTGGTTTTCGCCTGTTAAAAAAGAGGAACAATGTAACATTACCACACAAAGTTCAGTTATTTTAGCAGGGCTGCGACAAATACAGTTGCCAATGCGACTGACATTATTTTTCTCCTTTGCAACTATGAATTCTGGTTTAGTAGCCACTTTGGCGAACAGTTTTCTCTATGATTTAAATTTAAATTTAAAGAGTAAAGTTAAAACAAACATTTCATCTTATCTTGTTTTGCTTTTGTCATAAAAAATGTGCCAAATCGCATAAACAAAGCCAGTTTACCTCCAAAATTATACCGACTTGTGCCCGTGAAATATTCCAACAATCATAGATGATGGATTGCACATACTATGAGCTGCCTAATCAAGCCTTCCTAAGGGACTTAGGGTGAGGAGATTCCAGAAACTCCAATACTCAGGCTACTAGAAGTAATAAATTAAATTATTATAAATTAATGCTTGTAAATACGTTAAGTGGAGGAGTGCAAAAATGTGTAGGAAAGGAAAGAATAGCAACTTGCAGCATTCAAGTTAATTCTTTCAAGTGGGGGTCATGTAGACCACCTGAGGTTTCACCCAGACCACATGCTAAATTTATTCATTATATTTATCTAACATCGTTTTATATTTCATCTGTCGCGTCAGGAAGTCGTCTTTGTTGGATCATTGACCCCAGATGCCTCTCTTATCTGGAACACTGTACGTGCAGGATTTAATTAATTGGCCAAACAAAACATTTACATACAGTACATAACAGAGGAATATCAACAATCTGAGCTTTACCCGCGGCCGGATGAACCTTTAGCTGGTTTCTTCACCTCTGCAGGGAAAGAGATGCTACTTGTAGCAGATGAGCTTGGTCCTGAATTCTTTTGTACTGGTACAGAATGATGGGTGGTTGATGGTACATGTGCATGTGTTGGAGAATGGACATTAGCCGACCCTGTGGATAATGATGTGGATGATGATGATGATGGCACACTTTGCATGTCTCCATGACTACTCAATGATTTGCTTGCTGGGGTCTTGCTTGATGAAGCCAACTGAGAGCCTCGGAGGGGTGTTTCTTTCTGTGAAGTCAATGATGAACTGTCTTTGCTGGGTGATGGCTGAAATTTTTTATAACAAGTCAAAAAATATTAACATATTAACCCATTCGCCCCCGAGCCCCCAGTAACTGCCTGTGCAGATCCAAATCCCGCAATCTACTGCTTGTCAATATATGCACAGAAATTACTGTGTCTTTGTGTAAGAGATAGGGATCATTGTCATGTTCTTTGTGATGTAACTCAACAGCTCTGATTCACTTGGTATAATTATCATGCGCCAGCCATTTTATGGACTGAAATTCAGCCATTTTCAGTGAACACAAGTGCTCTTTTTGTGGCCATAATTATTATGGCCACAAAAAGAGCACTTTGCCTGTGGGACGAGTGCAGGAAATCCCAAGCAGGTAACATGGCTCCATCTTGTCCGCTTCGGTAGTCAGTCACCACAAAGAATTTGCTTCAAATTGCCTTCTCAATAGGCCGAATGGGCGATTGACTCAGAGGCCATGAGGGCGAGAGGATTAATATTGTTTTAGTAAAATCCAACTAGTTGCTCAAAATATCGAGACAAACAACTTTATAATTAGCTAGCAAAACGCAATTCATCCGCCATTGTTTTGGTTTTCAAAGCTGGTGCTTTTTGCTACTCGGGGGCTATAACATATAGCCTAGTAGTAGCTCAACCAATCAGAATGCAGCATTGATAATAGACCACTAGCTGGATTTTACTAAAAAACATTATTCATGATTATTATTTTATTTAGTAGTGTCATAGTAAAAACAATGAAAATTGACATAAACTGTTTTTAACGACAGTGAAATATTGTCATAAGCAACATCCTTGACTATACTTACAGACACAGATGAATGTTGTTTCCTGAACCAAGTAGTTTTGAACTGGTCCAATTTTTTACCCTTGTACTTGACCTTCAAATACATTGTAAAAATGGAAAAAATTAATGACAATTTAATACATTGTACTAGTCTATCAAATATAAAGCTATATGTACTGAGCAGCATACTGCGAATTGTTGTAACTGTTCATAATAATTTTTCTTGCTTGCAAAGCCGGGGTTGCAAAAATAATACTATTAGAGTTGTACAGCTGTAACTGGTACATGGATGAATCTATTGTTTTCTGTTTTGCAAGGCTCAATCATCAACTCAATTCTCGACAAACAGTCCATTTTACATGAGTAAAATCCATACAAGTTAGCTGACAAACATTTCTCATGCAAAATCTTGTGAACTATATTAGATGTTTGGTGATCATCTCACAAAATAATTATGTGTCGTCATTACACAATCAAAATCAAGATGGTGCCAAAAAGGTACACTAATGACAATGATGAAAAAAATCACCACTGAGTGTGGTACAGGGAACCCAGGAATATAAAAACAATTTTGATATTGTGCTTCATGCTGTAATAATGGTATTGCAGCAAACATAAAAAATGAAGACCTGACCCTTATATGAACTTTTTAAATGTTACATTAAACAAAATTATTATTGGATGAGGTTTTTTATGATATCCGGAATAATCAAGGTTGAGGTAAGTGTTATCGGCCAAGCTGAAGGCCGAGGCTGATAATACTTACTGAAGCCTTGATTATTTAAGATATTACAAAAACCGAATCTAATAATATGTTTTGTTATACATTGTTTTGAAGAAAATAACAACATACACACTGTCGCAAGGAACCTGCATTGATATTTCTATTCAAAATCATGCATTGCGTGCGCATCCTACAGATTAGTCAGTTATCTGCAAGCACATACTGTAACTAACTTATCCGTAGGTTGCGCTGATTTCCAAAATTAGCTGTAGGCCAATGAAAAAACAGCTAACGAGTACAACATACAATAAAGTATAATAAAAAAATTGCGCTTGGTTAAGTTACTGCATGTCAAAAAGATAATGACAATTGAGCGGTAATGATTCACTCACAGAAGCCCATCCACAGCCTGATTTCTTGGAAGGATTGACAAGCTTTTTGCAGTATATTGCCCATGCAGATGGTGAATTAAACACCTGACTAGCTTCTGGCCATTTTATTCTACCATCAGGTTGAAGATCAGCTACAAACTTTTGACCCTGTAACAAAATAAATTGGTACATATGTAATAACAATAGTAATATTATTATTAATTACCAATGTGCTTAGACTGGCAAGTGCTGAGGTACAAAGCACTGTCTGGATCAATTTAGGTATCTGGGAAACTGCCCACCTACTCCCCTAACCCAACATTTTGCCCCAAGTGAGATGCAAATGTTAATGTTGAGTTAGGGGAGGAGTAGGTGAGCAGTTTCCCAGAAACCTAAATTGATCCCATTGTCCTAACACGCCTGTGAACTAAGTGCTTCAGTAGTGTTAACAGATCTTAGTCTTTACCCCTACCCCGAGCCCCACAATCACCCTACCCCCAACATTTTTTTCCAGCTGTCTGCTTGTTCATAATAATTTTTTCTCTACTATTGAGTTACAATACTATATGTACGTTTGTTGCATGGCTTATAATTCTGTATGGTTGTGTTGTGTAGTTCTGCTCTCTCACAAAATACTTGCAAAATGGCAATGGTTACCTTGAGGAAGTATTAAAGACATCGCAGGTAAGTTGTCTCTGAATTTGTAGCACCACTGTTTGGTAGAAAGGATCATTACTCCCCTTTATTTTAGGAGTCTGGCAGAATCCCACAGGAAAATGTTTTGGGCCACCAGGGAAAAAATTTTAACCATGAGAGGCGCACCTTTATTTACCAAAATTTGCAACATTTGATATCACAATGCTTTCTCGAAATAATTAGTCTTGCATAAAATTATGACAGATTGAGTACTGCACCCTCTTTACAGAGAAAAAAAAAATTTCTGTGGGTAAACAGGACTTTTGTCACAACTAGACAGGGATTTACAACGGTTACCATACATCATGTAGCTGCTGAAGAACCCTGGAACTATGCTGTATAAATAATATTTTAAACAATAATACATCTAATTAGGTTACAATGTATAAGATACATACCAGGTAATCGATAGAAAGGCATTTTTCACCAGGCTCAATGACTCCATCATCCATCAACATACCAAGAGTAACACCTCGTCCTGTTAACACTGATCGAGGCTTTCTTCTTCCTTTGGGTTTGGCAACAGATGCTTTGATGTCTTCCTCTTGCTCCATGTCATCAGCATCTTCATCATCTTCATCCTCTTTCATGTCTTCATCTTCTTCAATGTCATCAATATTCCCTTCCATTGCTGTAGTGGTAAAAAAACTATGCTTGAATGCAAGTATGGCTGTTGTCCAACAGTAACAGCAAACACCCTTAGAATTGAGGATGATACAATTACGAATACGAGATTGGACTCCAAGTTTTTTTGCGTATTGGAAAGTCTAATTGTACTTTTTTTAACAAAAGAGTTAGCAATGTTATCTTTATGGAAGAAGGTTGACCCCTCTCCTGATTGCAAAATGATGAAACTTCCGACACTTGATGAATTGTTTCCACTACATCAACATTCTTGCTAAACTCCTTGTAGAATGACGACGGCTATCAAGTTTTCCCGCCAAAAATGATGCTGATTCACACGCATGCACTTCTTAGTATCATAAAAATCTGGTACTCGTAGTCATCCTCATCTTAGAAACTGAAGCTCTCTAGTATTTTGAGACTGTCAACTTACTTTTGAGGTGTACTGTAGTTTTGATTGGGGGAGGGGAGGTTACTCTAGGAAGTTTGCCCCAGAAGCGTTTTCGAAGAATTTTTGGTTTGCTTTTTACCATATCTCTAAATAGAAGGACAAGGGCGGAGTTGATTTTTTGAATGGCTCCAGGAGGGGATCACAAACACAAGATTGTAGGCAAGTCAGTTGAGCCAAAATAAGCTACATGTACAGGTGTACAGTGTCTCAAGTATTTTTGCAACTGGTTGTAGCTCCAGGCAATTTGGATGAACTTTTGATTGAGAGGTACAAGGTTTTGGAAGCGGAGCAGTACGATGTTCTGAGAGAATATGGCCCAACTACTGGAGATGTTCAAAAAATTATTGATCCCACCATTGTCCTTGTGATCTATACATGAAGGAGACACAGTAAACGGCAAACTAAAAGTCCTTCAAAATTATTGCTGAAAATACCACTTCTGAGCCTAAGGGTGACAACCACAAAAAGGAAAGACAGCATTTATTTGGCATTGATTAATGTACATATAAACCGATATATCACTACAGATTGAGCAACCAGTAAATACAAGAATGTGTGGGTGTCCTGTGACCTCACTTAGTAGTAAATAGACCAGAAATGATTTAAACAAAATTTATATCGGAGCAGTTTTAGAATACACAGTCACTTGTCTAATTGTCGTAAAGATAGATCCTATTGCTACCAAAAAAAAACTGCATTGGCTGGCCAGGCATTATCCCAATCTGGAATAATAAGCTCATGCACTGCGCATAAAAGTTCTATCCTTTATAAACACGCGCGTAAACTGAGCTGTAAATGAGCTTCTTTGCAAATGGTAGAAGGAATTTACCTCACATTAACACAAACTTTACTTTAAATTGTGCCGTTTACATCAGCAAGCTTCCGTTAAGCCTTAAACCTTATTCTAAGGTGAAGCTTGGCAAAATAAAAAAGTTAATTAGTGAACGAGTTAGTATGCTCAGTCTGTATGCTGGAGGTAAAGTAAGCTTACATGAAATGAACAGGGCTAAAATCTGTTAATTTCCTCGAACAACATAACTACTTTCACTAATAACGAAATTTACATTCAGACTTACCGTTCATTAAACGAGAATTAGCCAAAGCTTCGACTGCACAAACAAATTAAAACAACGAGTTAAACTATCTCTGCTTCACACATTCACCACAAGACCAGGCCACAAAACAGTAAGCATCGTGCTGTTAAATCGTGCTTTAGTTTCCGATGTATTGTAATGTATCGGCTGTTCGGATATCCTCGTGTAATCTTCGTAACCATCTCTCTCTGCGGTCTTTCCTGATTCCCTATTCGGTCACATGCTATTGAAAAATCTCCAACTCGTGCAACTCACATTTGGTTTCGTTTCACTTTGTAGAGTAAACAATTTATTTCGTGTACTGCCGATTTCTTGCTGCTTTGGAACAACATCTTCAAAACGTTCCGCGATCATAAGAACCATGGCGACAACTAAGAAAGCTTTTGAGAGACTTCCAACCAACGTTGCTCCCAAGAATTATGCCCTGACTTTGCAACCAAATCTCACGGAATTCACCTTTACTGGCAAGGAAGTAATAGATGTGGAGGTAATGCAAAAAATTAATCCAGAATACATAAAATGCCGCTCTTTAACTTACGTTAGAATTTGATCGAGAAACTGTTAAGTTTGCCCACTGAAGCGCTGATGATGGTGAATTATTTCACTTTGCTTTACAAATTACAGTTTCGATTTCATCACACTCCTCTGAAGAGGAAGTAG